TGCAACTCTGTGGGAGGTCAGCATTAGCCGCACACCTTTAGTCCATTAACACTGAGTTCTGTTGCCTTCTGGAGAGGAGCTGGAAACAGCCCTCCCTATAGAAGCATTCGGCATTGAAGGACTTAAAACCACAATAGGGGAGAAGAAAGAATAGCTTTTGGGCAAGGATGTGGCAGAAGAAGCCTTGATCCAAGGTGGTAGGTATAGAGCACATCTACATGTCACCCTACATGAGTGTAGTGACACGCTATGTCACCATAGCACATCACCATGGCAACATAGGATAACGTGGGTCTACATGTGACTGGCAGCGACTTCACCGTGGCAGCACAATCCCCCAGTTTAGTGCACTGCTATGGCAAAGCCGTGGCAAAAGCTAGCAGTGTGCCGCATGCACGGTGCAGTACAGGGAGTTACTGCGCCATGACTGAGTACTTCCAAAGGGCTGTCTTCCCCCTCTTACAGCCTCAGGGAAGGTGGAGAGTGAAGGCAGGTTTATCCTTGTAGATATTTATACACAAGACAACCCAGGGCGACTCTTCTGGTTTCTCACCTACCCATCAAGTGCTATAAAAGAAGGTGCGATTATGTGGTTGGAGACACTGGAACCAAGTGTGTAAACAGAGCATTTTTCAATGGCAAGTCTAAATGTGTGTTTTAACTTGTAGCTGTGTTCAAAAAAATAATAATCTTGGCAACCTCCGTGTTTATTTTGGTGCCCAGCACAGGTCTCTTGCACTTTCACTACATGAAATATTTGTTTTAAAAAAATCTTTTAAAACAAGCGCGCACACAAAGAAAACCCTCCAGGAAATTATAGCTTTTAGGAGGTTTGGGGTTGTTTTTGTTTTAACCCAGGCTGTTTAGTATTAGAAGGAAACTTTACCCAAACAGGCCAACATCTTATGCCAGTGATGGATCCTCCAGGGTCATAATCGGGAAGCTTTTTGCTTGTTTAGATGCAGTCATCGACAGACTTCCAAGGTGATTTTGTTTTCCGTGTCTTTCATCACATGCACACGCATTCAGATGGAAACTTGGAAACTGGGAAGCTGCGAATCCTTCAGTGAAACATAGTCTGAGCCTGAGCCAAGTGCGAAGTGTGTCTGACAAGCCCCGAGTACCAACAGAAGCTGCATTAGATAAGGGAAGGGGGGAGGTACATCCACCTCCCTGCTGTTCTGCCACTTCCCGCTACGTACGACACAGCAGGTCCTCAAGGGATCCAAAGCCTGTTGTAATCCATGGAAAGTTTCTCTGTGACTTCAATAGGCTGTTGGAGGACCCCTGAAGGAGGCAGAGAGACTGGTTGGATGTGAGTCTCAGTTAAGGTCTCTGTAGTAAGTAATGCACATATACATGGGGGTCAGCGTTAAGGTTAAGGCAAGATTTTACATTTTGTGGGAAATAAATATTTCCAGCGTTCCCTGGGTTGTTCCATTTTGCTTTTCAAAGAGTGCTGGGACCTAGACCAGAGGGCACCTTCCCTCAAATGCAAAGGGAGGCGCTGAATCCACTGGCCTGGGTTGCCTTTAATTCTGGCTCAGACCCAGAACTGGGAAGGAGTTGCTTTCAGCCCCAAATGGGTGAGTTCTTCCACAAACTGATATTATTTCATATTGCAACCCCAGTCTGGTCTCCATCACAACTGGCACGTTAACACAGAATGAGAGGCAGTCTCTACACTGATGTGCTTTCAGTCTGAACAGCCAACACATGGGGGGTAAAGGAAGTTTAGTATCTATTTCACAGATCAAACACAGAGATGATGTAACGTGCTAGTCATACAAGAAGCCCACTGCCAGGAACTCATCTTCTCAATCCTAGTCAGTACCTTAGCCACATAACCAGCCTTCATCTGAAGATGATCTGTGAGATTTCTGAAGTGTCTCATTCCACTTGTAGTTTAGTGAGAAACTCAGTGATTAGCAGCTCACGTGCTTTGCCTTGAGTGTGCTTTGTCCTGCAGTAACTTGTTCATGTGCCCATACCCCCCAGGACTGATCTGGCTTATCTAAACTTGCTGCCCCAGTCCCCCTGTCATGCTTGCCCACTGCCATCATTTGATGCAGACCTTGGCCTATTGGCTGAGATCAAGGGTAGTCCCTGTTCTAGTAGGAGATGCCATGATCACCACGCCAGGATCACTTTAAATGGTATTGGTGGAGTTCAGGATGGAGGGCTTGTCCAATGCACAGTGGGCAGGGCCCCTACAAGAGTCTACTATAGCCTCCCAATGGGAGGATTTCAGCTGCATACTTTATTTTTAAGGAGATGGGGGATTTCTCCCTAGCTTGCTTCTTTGTCCTTTTGGCTAAGGGCAAGTGAGATTCGGGGGCACCTGAATCCCCAGGCCTCCGGGTTTGGGGCCTGCACATAGGAAGCCTGCCAAGGATTTGGGAGTATCTGAAGCCCCAGGCTGAAGAGTCTGGAAGAGAGGATACTTGCTGGTGGTAGCACCACACAGACATGAACCATTATATATATGTGTGTGTGTGTGTGTGTATATATTTATATATGTGTGTTTGTGTGTGTGTATATACATAGAGAGAGAGAGCTATAGATATAGCTATATATATATATACACACTATATCTATAGCTCTCTCTCTCTCTCTCTCTATGTATACACACACACGCACACACACACGCACACACATATCTACATTTGATGCAGACCTCACAATATTTGGTGATTTTCTCAAAATCCCTCTGGAGTCATGTGAGTAACTTGAGATTCGGCTTTCACTTCATCAAAAGCATGTTTCTAGCCTTGACCGTTGATGAAAATAGCCTGATGACATGAACCTCAAATGCTCAAAAATCAGGAAACAAAGAAAGATAATCCATAACATTTTTTTCAATATCTCTTGAATAGTCGAACATTCAGGGGGCTGTCTCTAGGCTGTTTGGTTTAGCAGCACTGCATCCACACATCTCGTGTTAGATTTCTCGGGGTGTAGAAATCCGATGTAGGTCAGGTCTTTCACTTAACAAGCAATTCCATTGCATTTCCTTGTCCCTTCTGATCTCATTGCGCTGATGCCCACAGAGGTCCAGATCCCTGTACTTGGGAAGCGTCTAAAAATGCCAGGCCTCCTTGGAACGGATTCCAGCCATGGCGTGGCGCTCTGCACACAGCAGAGACCAGGTTGGATCTAGTTCTTGAGGACGAAAGCCTCCCGCTGGAAGCAGGAGTGAGAAAGGGGCTGTTTGCCCAACTACGCAGCCTGTTATTGGGCAGCAGGGAAGTGGAGTCTGTTCACATGAAGAGCTCAGGGTTTTGGCCAGGAGGCGGGATTGAAAAGTGGGCAAAAGGTGCTGTCTGCCGTCCTGTCCAGACAATGCACACTGTGGTAGTGGGTACTTTGGGGCACCCTCCAAACCCACAGCTGCTAGGATATAGAGTGGGAGGCAGTAGAGTCTGTGCGGTCATGTTAATGTAAAGGACAACACAGGTCTTGGCACTTTTGCCCTTACGACAGGCAAACCAAATCTCCTTTGCCCAAGAGGTGCGCGCTGCCCAGGAACAGCTATCAGGCTCTGACTCCCTGTAAGTGACTTTGTTGAGTCCCAGACATGGCCTTACGAACAGGAATTAATTGAACCGCGCAACCCACCTTGGAGGCCTCTAGGCATCGTCCTCCCCCGTCGGACAGATGCAAGCACAGAGGCTCTAGGGAGGCGGAGGGCAACATTTTCCAAAGCCAGCCCTGATTTTAGGGGCCTTTTCTACAAAGGTGCTGAGTTCTCTTGACTTCACTGGAAGTTACTCAGCACACCTGAAAACCAGGCCTTGTATTGTCCCATCCTGACTCCCCCAACTTGGCCATTGCTTTTAAAAGCATTTTGGCCTCAGCTGTTTGCCCATGGTCACAAGGAACCAGGAGACGGACTTGGGAGCCCTGACTCCCAGACCTGGGTTTACACTTGACTCCGCTCGTCTCGCGGACTTATGTTGTGAAATACACTGGCGTCCCATAGCCATGGGCCTGTTAGACACGTGCAGAGGTAGTTTAAAATTAAAATGCCAATGTAACATAAAAGGGTTTAGAAGGAACTCGCTTTTCGTTTTTTAATTTAAGAAAAAAAAAACAACAAACTTCCCCCATTTTATTTTAAATTGTTCAGCGTATTAAATCATTATTTGTTCCATCTTTATAGAAAATGTTATTTTAAAGTGGCGCTTTCACACACACGTTCACATTCCAATAATGCAAACTGTATTTATCACCCCAAAATTGTCCGCATTTTTCAGTAAAAACGTTTGAAAAATGATCAGTGCTGTGCTGGCTTCTTACAAATATGGAGGACATGTCGAGCATTCAGTCAGTAGGGAAGCAGAAAAAAGCTACAGGTCTCTCTTGGTCTCTAGGGCAGAAAACAAATTAGGCATCAACTGGGGGCTTTGCCCTATTAAACTCTCGAGGCCAGGGGCGGTGGTGGTAGAAGGAGCACTCTTCCCGGGCTCCTTACCCCGTGAATCAGCATATGCAAAATGAGGCAACTTCTTGCTTGACTTCCCCCTTCCCTGTTCTGACAGCCTTGATCCTGCTCGCAGCTCTGTTAATCGTAAGGCCGGCCATCACCCCAAGAATACGTCATGTGGAGGAGTGGGTGCACGTCTGTCTGTCTGACTCCCTTTCCCCCAACCCCTTTGCCCTCTGCTTCCCTCCGCTACTAGTTATAAATACTTGGTGAAGCTAGTGGCCGTCAAGGTCAGTTGAAGGTGTTGAGCTGATTTAGCACGGTGTCTGCACACTGTGATCAGAAAGAGCCAAGATGCCTTAGCTACATACCATTAAATCAACGGACAGGGATTCAGCTTCTATAGGCTGACATTTCCTCCCTTTGGAAAGGCCACCATGAAATTTCTCACTGTGCAAAGTCCTGGAAGCTCTATCTGCTTTTATTTCCAAGGCTCTTGAGATTATCTGAAGCTGTTGGGTGGGGAAAGCAAACCACAAAAATTCATGCATTTTCTTTTTGTGATTTTGTGCAGGTGGCAGACAACTCTCTGTGGCTTAAAGGAATATGAAGGCGTCTCTATCACTTGGGACACGGGCGATGAGATGATCTAAGCAACCACACACGAATGAAACCATTTTCAGGAAAAAGAAGTGTTGTCTAGCCCTTTCGCTTGCCTCGGTAAACTCAGGCTCTGATACTGCTATTAATTACCTCTCAAGCTGCTGGAATGGGAAGAGGAAACTGCAGTTATCAGTTTTGATTAAACCCTCCATGGGAGAAACTGTAATGGTGTGAGAAACGTGGAAGAAAGATTTGGGACAATTTTAAACCGGTTAAAAAAAACCCAGTTTTTTTCTTCTTTTTTGATGCTTGTGGGCAAAATTAAGACTTGTCCCTTCACGAGAGAGGTAACTGAATTGCAGTGCTCGGCCTGAACGCCTTCTGATACTAGAAATCCTGCAGCATCCCCTCTTTGCCTTAACCTGGGTTACTGTGTCGCACCTTGCCGGCCAGACCAAGGAGCCCCCCAGGGAAAACCATCACCATGAGGAGGCGGCATCTGAAAATGTTCTCGTTCCTCTTTGTATTCATAGCGGCGATGTCATTCTTCCTGAACTACAATCACTACGAGGCCATGGTCAACTGGGCCCCCCAGCAGATTGTTATGCAGTTTTCGGAGCAGTTCAAAAAACTGATGAAACACCCCAGGAGACCCTGCAGCTGCAAGGCATGTGTGTCTGAGCTGGGACTTTCCTTGTGGTTTGATGAGAGGTTTAATCAAACTATGCAACCTCTCTTGACCACCCAAAACGCCTTGATTTCTCAAGACAGCTACAGGTGGTGGCTGGTAAGTGGGGAGCTGGGCAAGTGCCAGTGTTTTTATTGTACCATAATCGTTATTTGCTTGTATTGCAGTCATAATTCGAGGCCTCTGCCTGGTAACAGGGCCAAGGCACCATCCAGTAGTGAGAGAGAGTTCCCACTGAAAGAGCTTGCAGTCTAAATAGGCAAGATGATCAAAGAGGAGAAAAAGTCAGTATTAGTGCTCCTGTCTTCCCGATATGCACACGCTGATTTACCCAAAGACGCAAAGGTGTGTGGCAGAGCTGAGAACTGAACATGAATCTCTCAGATCTTAACACAATCCCGTAACTACAAAATTCTTCTTAAAATCTTGAACATTTTTTGTGCCTATTCCTTTTGTATAGCTTATATTTGTAATAATGCTTATCTTACATACAATATTTAAAAGCAGCCGAGGCATCCTGAAATTATTAATGTTCTCCTTGTATAGTTTTAAGGTGGGGACAAAATAAAAAGAAAAAAAAAGTTGCAGAATGACTTGTGGAACTCCCTGCCATAAGGTACTACAGGGCTTCAGAACTTAACAGGGTTAAATATATTAAAAATTCCATATGGATAAGAATAAGCAGTGTTTTATTGGCTAATATAATCCCGGGGTGGCCAACCAGAGACACGCATGTCACTAATGGCACAGGCGGCCTCCGTGTGTGTGACACGTGGCAAATCAGGGAGGGGGCAAGCAGCACAATGGCAGGTCGGGCAGGAAGCAGAGCAGCAGATGGGGTAGGGAGCACAGGGGATGACACAAAACGCAGAGCAGCAGATCAGGCAGTTTAGGTATAAACATTGCATGACCAGGGACTTTGGAAACATTTCGAGCGCCCTCATTTCATTTCGAAGCTGTTTCAAAGCTTTTTGTTTCATTTCGATTTTGCTGTGTCGAGCTCGAAATGCATCAAAACAGCTTTGAAACGAAACACTCGGTGAAATTTCACACAGCCCCACTGATTACAGGTTCAATCCTGTGAGATGATGAGCACCTCCAGCTCCTACTGTTCTCCGCACTAAGGTGGATACTTGCTGCCTCTCAGGAGGTGCTCAGCAGCTGTCAGAACCGTCCTGTGATGGTGTACTGTTTTCAGAGCTAAACCCTTAAGTCTTGGTGGAGGATGTCCTTTATGTAACTCTCCATGTAACAGCCACCCTGAAAAAAAGAGCTTTTTAAGCTGTCACCTGGTAGAGGAAGTTTCTTAGTAACAGGGGACCCCCCCCCCCATATGTAGGATTGTAATAACTGTGAGTTTGTCTTGCTGTACTTGCCAGGGGAGTCAAAGCAAGCAGAATTTAGTAGTCATCCTGGAACCTGGCTCCTATTGTGATTATGAAAGCCCATACTTTTATAAAAAATGTCCTGGGATCTTTAATACAGCCATGTCAACAATGGTTTTTCTGTGTAGTGGTCAGACTGGGAAGGGGAGATTAGTTCAGGTCAACCTGAAACAGAAACTTTGGAGAGGGATGGGTAGAAGAAAGAAGAAATCATAGAAATAAAGGGCTGGGAGGGACCTCGAAAGACCATCAAGTCCAACCCCCTGCTCTGGGCAGGAATACTGCTGGGATCAAATGATCCCAGCAAGGTGTCCATCCAGTCTCCTCTTGAAGACTTCCAAGGTTGGAGACTGCACTGCCTCCTTGGGAAGTCTAGTCCAGATCGTGGTCACCCTTACCGTAAAGAAGTTCTTCCTTACATCCAGCCTGAAACCATCCTCTAACACTTTATGGCCATGGCTTCTTGTCCTCCTGTGGGGTGCCCTAGCGAACAATTTTTTTTCCCAGATCCTGATATTCACCCCTGACATACTTATCGACAGCCACCAAGTCCCCCCCAGTCTTCTCTTCCCCGAGCTGAAGAGTCCCAGGTCCCTTGGTCTTTCCTCATAAGGTTTGTCCTCCAGGCCCTTCATCATTCCTGTGGTCCTTCTCTGGACCCTTTCAAGATCCTTCATATCTTTTTTGAAGCGTGGTGCTCAGAACTGGACACAATCCTCCAGCTGGGGTCTCACCAACGCTGAGTAGAGAGGAGGGTCATGAAATGAAACTGATAACAGTAATCATTTTGAGCCAGCCAAAAAAGCCAAAAATGAAAATTTTCATTTAATTTTCAAATAATTCAGCCCCTTCAAAATGTTCCATACTGTTTTTGTTTTATTTTGTATTTTAACGATCTAGGTGAATTTCAAGATGTATACAGCACTTCAACATGAAAAGTCAAAGTATCTTGTTTGAAAATGTCAACCCAAGGCATTTTTACTTTTCCAATTTTCTCCCCAATTTTTTAAAGCCAAATGCAACTTACATTTGGGGAAAACTTTGATCATCCCAATGCTTCTTCTTTTTTTGGCTAATGTACTGTCAGACAAAAATATTTGGCCTACATCTAATTTTTAATAACCAGAAATATCCAGGTCTCCATTTTTATGTCTCGTCTGAAACACAGTTCTGTTTAACTGAGGACAGAATTTGGTTCTTATGCTAATGGATTTTTTGATGGCCTCTTAAATCTATGCTGATCTTAAAAGTGATTGTAACGTTTCTTGCCAGCCCTAAAGGGAGCATTACAACTTAAGGTAATGGCCGGATTTAATTGGCACTTGTTGTACCAACTTACTTATTTCTGACTTTTTTACTATAATAGTGCTAAAAAAAAAATGGCTACTGAAGTGCTGGTGCTTTGATAGTAGCTATTTAAAGTTGTTTTTTGGAGAACAGAGACTGCAAAGTAGCAAGTTGGGCTGGGTTCCTGTCTTATTGGTACTGTAATTTAGATGCCATTGTGACTGCAGTGGAGATATTATCTATCTGTGAAACAATAACTTATTGCTGGTCGACACAAATGAGTTGTTTGGTACTGTGCTAGATGCAAAAATAGCCATCATCCCAAGGAACCTGCAGCCAGAAGGCCCAATGCTTCTGCCATTGCTCTAATGTGTAATGTTTTATTAGGAAGGAAGGGTAGTTTGTATAAATAAGCACTGCATCACAAGGCCTGCCGATTGTCTTGAACCATGACTGTTTTATGAAAACATTGACAAACATCTGAGATGAAAGGACCGAGGAACAATGTTAAACCAGCCCTTTTTTACCCAGCAAAGAAGTAGTTCTATGAAGTGATCACACACCAGACTTTATTAAACTGCTGCGAACATGAAGATGGCTAACAAATAAATAAGAATGCAATGCAGATAATGCATAATACGGATATACCTAGATGTATTTACAATCAATTACAAAACTAGAAGCCGTTATAAATTATGAGCTAAACAGACTTACAATTTAATACAATCTAAACCCCCAAATCCTAAGAGTCCTGATAGGTGGCCAACCTGTCAAGAGGATCTTACCCAAAACAGAGACTAAGTTCTAAGGGGCACAGGATCCTCCAAACATCTGCAGATGGGAACTTCAGCACAGAATGCATTTTGGATCACCAGCCCTTTTTTTATCCTTCTTCATAGGAAAGCCTTACAAAATGACTGTAGAAACATGGACAAATATGGTAATAAAAAGATCATTATGTCATCCTATTAATAAAGATGGTATAAACCAGCCAAAATCCCTTTATCAAGATTAGATGTTCTGAGACTAGCTAGTTTTCCGAGAAGTATTTCACACCGAGAAACCTAGTTCCATTTTTCTCACGCTGCTTTTTGTTAAATTAACTTATGCTTATGTAACAGTTAGCCTCCTAAGGCCTACTAAACCACTATACTATGGATAACTTAGTCAAACATATTCTAATGGTCTACAGCAGGAGACAGGCTTTCTTCACCCTTTCCCAGGCATGTGAAACATGACGATTTAATCTGTTGTGTCTTTGTTTAAAGCAGTTTGGCATTTTCGAATGCCCTGTTACCTTACATTGCTTTCGTCTAAGCAAGCTGACAAGGCAATCCTCCATACTAAAAAATGTGCAGTCATATCCCACACTCAGCTCTGCGGTCCACTGCAGAAAATGCAGTGCACTTGCTGTAACTCAGATTAAAAATTCAACCTTATTTCTCAAAAAGATATTTTGGAGCTTCGTGTGCTGTGAATGTTCTCTCATGTTATCCCCAAGGGGTACCTGTATACACGTCACAAGGTTTAATCCTAATTAAATAGGTTTATAACATTTAAAAAGAGTGCAAGAGCCTTTGTGTTTGAAAGTTGGCAGGTCCTGTTGTGTGATGCAATGTTTTTCTGCTTATGTCTGCCTCCCAGCCCCCTTCTTTAGCTGACTTACTTGTAATGGTATTTTCTCTGTTACAGAAATGCTAGGTATGCTTCCACTGTTTGAGTTAGCCTAAAGATAAGGCAGCAGTAACAACCGGGTCCATATTTTTAGCCTGAAGCATAATAACGTAGAACTAAAATCAGTGGGAAAGGCCACCATTGTCTGTTTAAAGCCTATAGGGACCCAACGTCAAAGTTAGCTTTTCTTTAAAGTGTTTTGGGGACTAGTTTTGTTTTGCTCTTGCAGGTTAGGAAACATAAAAAATTAAGAGCTCAGACTCTGCTTTAACTTACCCTGTTGTAAACGCAGAGGGACTCCATTGAAATCAGTGTATTAAAGCTGCAGTACTTCAGATCAACTTCAAAGTTCCCCTGGCAATCTTAACTGCAACACGTAGTCCATAAACTACTGCATGACCAAGATTTTATCATGCATTTTGTGACATTTGGTTGGGTTTTGCCACTCACCTAAAACAAAAAATCAGTTACTAGTTCTTGTGGTTGTTGAGAAAAAACTTGAAAATATGTTCTTTTAAAGGGTTGGAAACCAGAAGACTCATCAAAAGTGCATCAAATGCCCCCTCACACACACACACACGCATACACCCACACACACTGCCTTTGCCACACAGATTTAGCTTAAGAAAGTGCATTGTTTTACTAGATCCATGTTCATACATCATAGGAGACAGTCTGGCCCTAAAGTAGTCCTCAGACTAACATGACTGGTTCCTGAAAACCGGGTCTTGAATTGAAACGTTGTAACTCGGA